TCTCGCGCGTTTCTTCGACGCCAACGGCCATCGTGGGACGCTAGAAGCTCCATGGTGGCCAGCTAGATGGCGTAGAGGAGCCCATTTAAGCGAAAATGAGCTGTTTTGGACCCCTAAAGGCGGCCCAGGGCGCTCTCTGCGGCGGTCCAGCGGTCCGCGGCGGCGGTCGGGACTGCACATGGACTGGCAGGCCGCAGGGACTCCGGCCGAGGCCCGGACGCGGTCGCATCAGGCCGCGGTTGCCATCCGCCGGTTCTCGGCCGAGGCGCTTTCGGCGACCGCCGGGCACCTTCTGGGCGTCGGAGACGATGTAGATCGTCGTGCAGGAGCTCTGTGATGTCGAACCGCCCGGCGGAACACAGCGACGGTGATCGGTCGACGCGAAACGCTGCGCATGGTCCCGAAAACATGCGTTTTCGGGCTATTTGAGGCGCTCTGGAGCCGAAACCACATCTTACACGCCGATTTCGCGACCCGGGGCGACTCCGATGCCTTCGCCCGCTCGTAACGTATGGTCCACGCCTTCGACGACAGCCAGCCCGCCGCCAGCGCCCACAGGCGCACTGCGGCTCGCGTTTTCGGTCGAAGTGCTTCGGCGCCCGGCGGACATTCGCGAATCGTCGAAAAATCGACGCGCGACCAGAGATGCGTCGCAGCATCAACTCGTACCACCGGGAGGGGCGTCTGGCCGCGAAGGAGTCCCAGAACTCGTCGATGCGCCGAAGCTCGTCTGGACCGCCGAATTTCGGCACTTTTGCGACCCACGGGTGCGCGCGCGCAGCACCGTTTTTCGAGCAACCAAGCACGTCGAGCGCCGCCGGGGGTCCATGAGAGGAAATGGACGAGGTTACGTCGACCGCCACGGCCGCGCGCGCGCGTACGCGCCGACTGCGTGAAGTCTCAAAGCCTGTGTTTCCTTCAACGGCTCAAGAGTCTTGCTGAATTTTTTCAGGCGAGGCGCAATGGTCAGGTCATTGAGGCCCTAGCAGCGACCTCTGCAGCCCAGCGCATCGTCGCCACACGCTCTAGACCCGCGCAACAAGCCACGCATAACGCCGCGCAACGCGCGCGCACGACTTTCCGACGCCGCGCGCCGCGCGCCGCGCCCAAAAATGCTGCGCCTCCTCGTCGCCGCGCTCTGCCTGCGCGGCGCCCTGCCGGCGGGCCCGTCGCTCCTCGAGGCGCACGAGCACAACGCGCCCATCGTCTACTCGCTGGACGCGTCGCCCGGGCTCGTGGACCACGCCTTCTCCGCCGTCGCGTCGCTGTCGAGCGTCGTCCACGCGTCGGCGAACGCGACGGCGCTGCGGTTCGCGTTCGTGCTGACGATCCCCGAGGCGTCGCTCGACGAGTTCACGGCCGCGCTCTGCGCGACGATCATCAGCGCCGTCGGCCGCGACCTGCACCGGCCCGGGCTCCCCGTGTGCGCGCGGCGGAGCCTGGCGGCGTTCCTCGCCTCCGGCTCCGACGGGTCGTGCGCGGCCGCGGGAAACGCGGCGCTCCCCGCGCGCGTGACCTTCGTGCACTTCCCCCAGCACGCCGGCGACTACCCGGGCCGCGTGCAGCGCGTCCTCGAGCTCCTCTGCTGCAGCCAGCACCGCTACGCCGTCGACCGCCCGGAGCTCGCGCGGTCCATGGGCAACCACGCGCGCTTCTTCGCCTACCTGGCCCTGCTCCCCCTGGGCGTGCGCCGCGCCATGTTCCTGGACGTGGACACGCTCGCCCACGACGACGTCGCGCCCCTCATGGCGTCGCCGCTCGACGAGCAGAAGTTCGTCGCGGCCGCGAAGCGGTGCGCGCCGAAGCGCGCGGCCTACAAGCCGCGCTTCAAGTTCAGCGACCCCCTCGTGGCCGAGTTCGGCCTCCGGTCCGAGGCCCAGCACGTCAACGCCGGCGTGCTCGTCATGGACAT